CCTGGCACAGAGGCAGTCCTCAGTGCAGCTCCCAAAGGGAAGGAGATGTGTCTTTGTGGAGACAGATGAGGAACCTATTCTAGGTGAGAGAGAAACTTGGAGGTAACCCAGTCAGGAGTAAGTAAGGCACCCATTCAGCACACATACCAGCCGGAGCCAGTTAGTAACACCCACAGAGTAAGGCCTAGAGTCAGGTATTTGAGGCTCAAGATGGAGATCTCTCAAATAACTTAAAACAGAAGTACCATTTAACTCAGCAATCCCATTACTGGGTATGTGCCCAAAGGAATATCAATTGTTCTACCATAAAGACACATGTGGCCGGGTGCGGTGGCTCACACCTGTAATCCCAGCACTTTGGGAGGCTGAGGTGGGTGGATCACCTGAGGTCAGGAGTTCAAGACCATCCTGACCAACATGAAGAAACCCTGTCTCTACTAAAAATACAAAATTTGCTGAGCGTGGTGGTGCGCGCCTGTAATCCCAGCTACTCGGGAGGCTGAGGCAGGAGAATCGCTGGAACTTGGGAGGCGGAGGTTGCGGTGAGCTGAGATCGTGTCATTGCACTTCAGCCTGGGCAACAGAGTGGAATTCCCGTCTCAAACAAAACAAAACAAGACAAAAAACAAAACACAAAACAAAACAAAAAGAGATGCATGCATGCATATGTTTATTGCAGCACCATTTGTAAGAGCACACGGATGGACTCTACACAGGTGCCCATGAGCGGTGGACTGGGTAAAGAACAGTTGGTCCAGGCTGGGTGTGGTGGCTCATTCCTGTAATCGCAACACTTTGGGAGGCTGAGATGGGCAGATCACCTGAGGTCAGGAGTTCAAGACCAGCCCAGCCAACATGGTGAAACCCCAACTCTACTAAAAATGTAAAAATTAGCCAGGCACGGTGGCGTCATCCCAGCTACTCGGGAGGCTGAGGCAGGAGAGTTGCCTACACATGGGAGGTGGAGGTTGCAGTGAGCTAAGATGGCACCACAGCACTGCAGCCTGGACAACAGAGAGACACTGTCTCAACAGAAGAAGGAGAAAAAGATGTGGTCCATACAGACCATGGAATACTGCGCAGTCATAAAAAGAAGGAAATCACGTCCTTTGCAGCAACGTGGATGGACTAGAGACCATTAACCTGAGAGAACAAAACTGACGCAGGAACAGAAAACCAAATGCCGCACGTTCTCACCTTTAAGTGGGAGCTAAACACTGAGTACACAGGGACACAGAGAAGGGGACAGGAGGCGCTGGGGCCTCCTGGAGGGTGGAAAGACTACCTAGCAGGTACTGTGCTGATTATCTGGGTGACAAACTAACCGGCACACCAAACCCACGTCACGCAATTGACCCATGCAACAGATCTGCACGTGCAGCCTCTGAGCCTAAAATGAAAGTTGGAAAGAAAAATAACTTCAACTAAAACAAAACCTATGAAAAAGTATTTGGGGCTCAGAAACCAGAATTTGGGGGTTCAAGCCCTGCTTACCAGCTGGTAAAGCTTGGGAAATTGCCAAGGAGGTAAATAAAGCTATTTATCTCCTTGGGGGAGTGCATCAGGACACAGAAGATGCTACCACAATGCCTGGCAGAAAATAAAGCTCACTTACTTTCAGCTGTGATTCTTTTCTTTTTCTTTCTTTCTTTTTTTGGAAACAGAGTTTCACTCTTTTTGCCCAGGCTGGAGTGCAATGGCACAATCTCGGCTCACGGCAACCTCTGCCTCCTGGGTTCAAGCAATTCTGCAGCCTCAGACTCCCAAGTAGCTGGAATTACAGGTGCCCGGCTAATTTTTGTATTTTTAGTAGAGCCGGGGTTTCACGAACTCCTGATTGCAGGTGATCTGCCCTCCTCGGCCTCCCAAAGTGCTGGGATTACAGCCTGGCCAGCTGCTATTCTTTTCTGAAGGAGAGGAAGTCACTGCATGGACAGAGGCCACCAAGCACAAGGTGAGAGCTTTCCTCCTCTGTGAACTGGGGACAGGTTCTCAGCTGTTCGGGTACAGCATGATAAATAACAGCGAGCTCGGACACAGGCTTGTCAGCAATGACAGACTGCTGCTGACCCTACATGTGTAATTCTAAATTTATAATACATTTTCATCCCCAAATTAAAACCCAGAGCTGGGCTGCAGGCCTGGGGCTCTTCCCATAAGCCACGTGGCCTTGGACCACACACAGACACCACACAGACATCACCTCCCAATGCTCTGCAGTAGCCCCAGCCAGAAGTCCTCCAACCTCAGCTTGAATGCTTCCCAGCACGGGGCGCTCACCCCCTCCCTGGCCAGTCCAGCTCAGCGCTTCTTCCTGCTCACCGCTGGAAATCACTCCCTACCTTGAGCTTCCAACCCACGGCTCCCATTCCCCACTTCCTCTGGAGAATCAAACGCCTTTGTCCACAAAGAGGAAGGCTGCATTTATCTCGAGGCTATGCTGATTTCTGCTTGTGTCTGTCCCCACCTGTGACTGGAATTCCAGGAACGCGAGACCTACCCCTCACACTGCTCGGCCCATAGCCTCATGTGGTGGAGCTGAGGGTGTCAGAAGGTGGCTCCCAGGCAGGTGCAGACGGCTGGCCACAGGCACCTGACCTCACTAGGAAAGGCCTCTCCTGACTCTCCCTTGCTCACAGAGGCTTTCGGGCCCTGGCTGAGCCTTCGACCCTCAGCAGAGGAACTCACGTCTTCCCTTAACTCCAGGCAGAAGTCCTAAACTCGATATCGGCCACGGGGCTGTGCTCATTTAAGTCAGGACCGAGACCAGGGTGAGGCGAGGGAGGGGCCTCTGCAGGGTCTCACGACGCTCACTCTCAGGGTCGTGGGCACCTGAGATGAGATGCCAATTTCCATGTGTACCCGGGCATCCCTCCCTTGCCCACAAACCTCTGCAGGGTGTGGAACCCTGCAGAGGCCTATGGGACCCAGTTTGAGAACCATGGGGGACGGACACGCCCAACGCTGCTGCTGCCTGGGAAGCAGGCCCAGGCCCAGGGCCTCCAGCAGGAACCGGCGTGGGTCGGCCAGCCCTGGACGATCGCCTGTCGAAGGGTCCACAGGCCCGGGGGCCACAGGGCCGCTGCCCAGTCCAACACGTGAGGGACCAGGCGCTTGTGGGTCTCTCCCCAAACAACCAGGGCGTAGACCGGTCTGCACTGCCCGCACCCTCTCAAAGGATGGTCTTGCAGAAGGAACTCCAAGAAGGAGGGAGGCCTGGGGGGAAAGGCTTGTTCTGTGGGCTCAGCACCCATGCCTGCCCAGGAGGCACTCCCACAGGTGACCTGGAAGGCATGAGTGGGTGATACACTGGCATTCAGAAGAAGGAATCTGCAGTGATCAGAATGCCACGGAGCTCTTTGGGCTCCCAAAACAAGAACCACAGCAGGCGCTTATCACAGAGACCTGCTACCGCCCGGCGTGTTGGCTGGGCATGGGGTTACGACAGCCCGAGACGGCTTCTTTCTTCATCGAGGCTCCTCCGGCCTCTGCTCCCATCCCCTGGGAACGGGCTCTCACTGGGCAGGTGGTGCTTATAATCGGAGAAGGAGAAGATGAAACACCACCTGCATCTTTCTCCGAGGAGGAGGGAGACCCGGTTCTGTGCGCCCGGGAATTACTGGACATTTGGAGAGTCCCACAAAAGTGGGTGCCTTTGGAGGCCGCTGCAGAGGACACCAGCCAGGGGCTCTCAGAGGGCTGTGCCCTCCCAGACCGGAAGGTGATGGCAGGGATGGGCAGAACGTGGGGTGGAAGGATGTGGTGGCTGCTGTCTCCAGGGCCCTTAAACGCCTTTTGCTCATGGTCAAGTGTGGGGATGCCAAGCCTGCCCGTGTCTCCTTAACTCACGGGAACAGCATGGGAGCTGAAACAAAGTGTGGAGTCCTTTGGAATGATCTCTTTTCCATCGGAGGCCCTTTCTTTGGAGAAGTAGGGAGTCTAGGGGCTGGACTGCTCCCAGCAATTTTGGCAGGGAAAGAGGAAACAGGTGGGATGAAGTCAGGGGCCCCCAGGGCTGGGGAGGGCGCGGTGAGGCTCCCAGTCACTTATCTCGCACTTTCTAGTAGGTGCCCTTCCCGGAGTTGGGCCCCGCTATGGCACCCCTCTCTCCCTGTTAGGCTTGTGGTCTCTGCCTCCAGCATAAGACAGGAAAACGTCATTGACACAGCAGCCGACGGCACTGGGTTCTGATTCCTCAGCGTGAGCACGCTAAGTTCTTCTCAGCGTGTCCTTGCTGGCCTCTCCAGATGCTCTGATGCCCCTCCCACCTGCAGTTCCTGCCGCAGCCCCGCACGCTTACCATGGGGCCCCGCTAGAAACCTATGCTGCAGCTTTCAGAGCAGCAGATATATCAGGTTTGCTTCCTGACCCCATCTCCTGCAAAGTGGTAGCTCACAGGGAAAAATGGGGGCTCCAGTGCCCGGCATGGGGCTGGGTCTGGGATGGCTCAGTACAGGCTGCCCACCGGGGGCATCTCAAAGCCCAGCTGGCAGAGGCTGTGACCTGGGGCCACAGAGGATAGAACGGCCCTGCTTGCTGATCCAAAACTTCTGCAGAAATGCATTCAGCCACCACCTACCAACCGCCCAAGCCCCTAAAGCTAGAGTCGGGTATCAGGTAGGACTGGGGTTAGGGAGCCTTCCTGGGGGAGGAGCCTGGTGCCTTAGGTTTGGGTGGCAGCGAAGTCCAGCAGCAAAGGGCACAGTTTTGGAATCAGGAGCTGAGTGACCCCACGCACTTGTCAGGATTTCTCGGAGAAAAATGTCCCTCCCAGGCTTTCCCTAAGGGCCTCTTGGCTGGGTCAGGAGAACCCCTGTGTGTCTCTTGATGCAGTGCAGACCCCAGTAACCTGAACACAAAATGGGGGTCACTTCCACCTCCCCCTTCGTTTTTTCCTGGCCATGCCTGCCTGAGGATGATTTCACAAAGGCAGGCAGAAGGGTAGTGACCACTCAGACTCACCACCACCCAAAATCCCAGCGTGCTGGGGCTCTGCTTACCCCAGAGGGCCATGAAGACGGAGAAGAAGACGGTGGCGGGGTTGTCGAAGAGGTGGCTGGCCCGGGCCGTGGCGCAGGCTGAGCTCATCTTCCAGTAGCTGCAGGTCTTGTCGCAAAGCGGACACATGGTGATGTTGTATCTCTGGTCACACATCTCCATGCTGCAAGACAGGGGCAGGCCTGGAGTGGCGGGGCCATGCGGATGGAGTGCCTGCTTCCTGGGTGCTGAGCTGGCCTGGGAGGACGTGCTGGGCCTGAGCCAGGGGAGGGTGAGGGTCCCCCAGGTCCCTGCCATGGTGGACACCAGCGGGTTGCTTAGCCACGCCCGGTCCCTACTCTTCAGCCAGGGTAGCTTCACAGGCCTGTGACCATGATGTGGCACTGGCCCCGAGCTCGCAGGGCCTCACGCTTGGTTTAACGCTCCCCTATTGCCGTCTTAAAACACACCGTGATTTCTGAACAAGGGTCCTGCGTTTTCGTCTCGCATGGGGCCCTGCAGTCTCTGTTGCCGGGCCTGGGGGTGGAGTCACCCAGACTTGCTTTGTGGCAGGAGATGGGCCGGGAACGTTCACCTCTGGGGTGACCCCGAGGCAGCCGCCTCCAAGGCCGGTCCTTGAGCCACTTCTAGGAGAGGTAGAGTTCCCAGCCTGCCCCCTCTAATCAGCAGCCACTGTCAGGGCTTGTGCCAATAGCAGGTGCTCGCCAGGTCTTTACGTTATGAGGCCCTGGCAAACGGTGAGAGACGAGGGCCCTCGCTCTACACCAGGCACTGCCCAGGTGCCGTTCCCGCAGCAGCTCCATCGCCTTGTGGGGCGGCTGCCCCGGATGCGGCCTGGTGGTCTGGACACAGGAGGTGGAGAAACGGGGATCCCAGGACTCCTCTCTGGGAGACGGGGCACTGGGCCAGGAGGAACAGGTCCCCAGCCACCCGGCGCAGGGGAGGCCCACCCTGTAGGCTCACTCGGGAAGCAATGGGGGCCTGCCAGGACGATGGTCCCGCTCAGTGCAGGCTTCTGCTCTGCTGAGCACAGGCGAGCCTGGGGCCAGAGCCCAACACTGCGGCCAGAAGAGAGCATCTTCGTGATGCCCGAGGCCCAGCTCTGCCTCCTTCCCACCAAGCGGACTCTCTCCCACTCGTATTAGAAAACACCAATACTTCCAGGCATGGCAGGAGCCTCATCACTGGCCGGCACAGATGTGCCACCTGCCTGGACCAGCACTGGGGACCATTACAATCCCGGAGCCCAGGAAGCAGAAGCGACTTCTTCAGGGCCGCACGGCAGAGTGGGACGTGAATCCTGATCTCTGTATCGTCAAAGCTTGAGCGCCGCATGGATCTCATCTGCTCAAGGGCCGTGGGGGGCTCCTTGTGGAAGCCGGGTGGCCTGGCTGGGCCCTCAGTCAGCTACACGTACCCTGTGACCCTGGCCAGGTCCTTTAGCCTCAGACTCAGTTTTTCTTACTGGAAGATGAGGAGGGGGTCAGGATCAGGTCCTTTCCGCTCTGGCCTGCTTTGAACTTTCTCCTTTCTGCTACTTTGGACAAAGCTGTGGCTCTAAACACACACCCAGGCTGGTGAGGTCAGAGGGTCATCTGGGGGAAGGGGGTGTTTGTTTTTTGACTTTCTGGATACCCTGAACTTGTACGCAGAATCACGCCTGACTCACAGCAGCCGGTGTTTAGTAAACCTCCTCCACGAGGCTCCGCGGGGCCTCCTCTGTGCCCAGCGTCACGGGCATCCTGGTTCACTTCTCTTCCTTCAGTCCCTAAACATTTATTAAAAAGTAGTGTAGGGCCAGGTGAGGTGGCTCATGCCTGTAATCCCAGCACTTTGGGAGGCTGAGGCAGGCAGATCACTGGAGGTCAGGACTTTGAGACCAGCCTGGCCAACGTAGTGAAACCCCGTCTCTATAAAAATACAAAAATTAGGCCAGGCGGGGTGGCTCACACCTGTAATCCCAGCACTTTGGGAGGCCAAGGCGGGCAGATCACGAGGTCAAGAGATCGAGGCCATCCTGGCCAACATGGTGAAACCCCATCTCTATTAAAAATACAAAAATTAGCTGGGTGTGGTGGCACGCGCCTATAATACCAGCTACCTGGGAGGCTGGGGCAGGAGAATCACTTTAACCTTGGAGGCAGAGGTTTCAGTGAGCCAAGATCACTCCATTGTACTCCAGCCTGGGTGACAGAGCGAGACTGCATCTCAAAAAAAAAAAAAAAAAAAGTGGTATAGGTACTGCACGTGCCGGGCACTGTGTTGGGCACAAAAGGTGGGCAGGTAAAAACGATTCACTGCAGCCATGGCCACGCCTGGAGCATGGAGGAAGCATGTGTATGTGTGTGTGTGTGAGTGTGAGTGTGTGCATGGGAGCAGGGGCTGGGCGAGGTGGGCAGGTGCATAGAGGTGTGAGTGTATGTGTGTGTGTGTGTGAGTGTGTGCATGGGCCGGGTGGGGTGGGCAGGTGCACAGTGTGAGTGTATGTGTGTGTGTGTGAGTGTAAGTGTGTGAGTGTGTGCATGGGCTGGGTGGGATGGGCAGGTGCACAGTGTGAGTGTATGTGTGTGAGGGTGTGAGTGTGGCAAGTATGTGTGTGCAAGGGAGCAGAAGCCAGGTGAGGTGGGCAGGTGCACACAGGTGTGTGTGTATGAGTGTGTGTGTGAGCATGTGCATGGCAGCAGTGGATGGGTGGGGTGGGCAGGTGCACAGTGTGAGTATGTATGTGAGGGGGTGTGTGGCATGTGTGAGTGTGTGTGAGTGTGTGCGTGGAAGCAGGGGCCAGGTGGAGTGGGCAGGTTCAGTGTGAGTGTGTGTGAGGGTGTGAGTGTGGCAAGTGTGTGTGTGTGCATGGAGTGGGCCAGGTGGGGTGGGCAGGTGCACACAGGTGTGTGTGTGAGTGTATGTGTGTGCATGGGAACAGGGGCCGGGGGGGTGGGCAGGCACATACAGGTGTGTGAGTGTATGTGTGTGTGTGTGTGCATGAGTGTGTGAGTGTGTGTGCATGGCAGCAGGGGCTGGGTGGTGTGGGCAGGTGCACACAGGTGTGTGTGTGTGTGTGACTGTATGTGTGTGTGTGCATGAGAGCAGGGGCCGGGTGGGGTGGGCAGGTGCACACAGGTGTGTGTGTGTGTGTGAGTGTGTGAGTGTGTGTGTGCATGAGAGCAGGGGCCGGGTGGGGTGGGCAGGCGCACACATGTGTGTGTGTGTGTGTGTGTGCATGAGAGCAGGGGCCAGGTGGGGTGGGCAGGCGCTCACAGGTGTGTGTGTGTGAGTGTCAGCATGTACATGGGAGCAGGGGCTGGGTGGGGTGGGCAGGCACACACAGGTGTGTGTGTGAGAGAGGGAGTGTGTGTTAGAGTGTGTGAGTGTGAGCATGTGCATGGGAGCAGGGGCCGGGTGGGGTGGGCAGGTGCATACAGGTGTGTGTGAGTCTGTGTGTGTGTGTGTGTGTGTGTGTGTGTGTGTGAGTGTGTGTGTGTGTGTGTGTGTGTGCATGGGAGCAGGGGTCGGGTGGGGTTAGCAGGTGCATACAGGTGTGTGTGAGTCTGTGTGTGTGTGAGTGCGTGTGTGAGTGTGAGAAAGTGTGTGTGTGTGTGTGCATGGGAGCAGGGGCTGGCTGGGGCGGGCAGGCACACAGAGGTGGGGGGAGAACCTGCCCTCGCGGCCGGGTAGCTCTGGGTTCGTATCTCAGCTCTGGCATTTGTGATCCGTGTGGCCTTGTTTTCCCTTCTGCAGAATGGGGTTGCTGATAGTGAAGAGAAGCCGTGTTAACAGGTTGTCAGGAGGATCAAACAACCAACAACCAACACGAGTGGCCCTCGGAGCAGCGCCTGGCAGCCCTCAGCCGTCATGTGTCACCAACGCTCTTGTCATCATTATGCAGTAGCCGGGCGCCTTGCAGCAGCAGCGAGCTTTAAGCAGAGCCAGGAACGGGCTCTCGGGGCTCATCTCTTGCCCCTCACTCAGCCTCCTCTCTTCTGGGGCCTCTCAAGGGCAGAAGGAGGCAGCACGTTGTGGGGGCAGGGCGTCCCCGGTCAGGCACAATGTGAGCCCCTTTCTCAGAGAACAGGCATGTGGAAGGCCCGTCATCGTCAGCATGCGACCCAGCCCACAGTGACCACCTGGCCTGAGGGTGGCCTGGAGTCCACAGTGGTGGGATTGGGGACAGGGAGGACTCAGGTGTACACCCACGGCCTGCCGTGAGCCCTGCGGCTCTCCTGCGCTCTCCTCCCTGCCCCACTCAGCTTCCAGCACAAACACCATCAGCCCCACAAAAAAGCCTTTTCCTGCCAGTTTTAAATCCTCCTCTGCCTCTCACTTCACCACCTTTAGCCAAAATAGAAAGAGCAGGAAGCTCTGTTGTGTAGGGAGGCCCACAGGTGCAAGGGCGGCAGGCAGCTCCACGCTGGGCACGGGCTTCCCTACACGCTTGGTGGGGACGGGATGGACCCTGCAGGGAGCACGCACCTCCTGCTTCGCTCCAGCTCACCCGTGGGGCTTGGCCTTGGCTTTGGCCTGGCCGCTGCCGACAGCGGCTGAATCCTGAGTAACTGCCGTTTCTGGCCATGTGGTGGAAGGGCCAAGCTGGCAAGGCCACCCCCTGGGAGGCAGAGCCTCCCTGCTGAGGCCACCCTCCAAGGGGAGGAAGGAAGGAAGATGGCCGTCCCCCAGGCTTCCTCCGGGGGTCATGGTGACAATCCCCACCTTGCACTCACCATTGCCCTCTGGCTTTGAGCTCTTGGCCTAAAGCCGGTATTACAATCCCCACTAAATCTGGGCTACGGTGATTTTACCACAACCAAACCCAAGTGCCCATGACCTCATACCACATCAGCAAACAAAAGGGAATGCTCTCTCCTGCCTCGGACCAAATAACGCCAAAGCGGAGATAAGCCAGATTCCTCAGAGCTTCGGATCGGGTGGGTGGAATATTTCAGGTGTTATTCATGTATCAAAACAGCATTTAAACAAAAATTGACCAGATATGGTCTTTCCGTGCTACTAAGAGTCAGTTTCTTTCCTAGCTAAGACTGACTGGGTCTTTACAGACAGGCTCAGAGGACACAGTTTCCGAACTGTAGCTCTGCTCTGGAGATACTTGGCAGGAGTGGTTTGAAGAACCACCAAACTGACATTTTAGGGCTTTTCTGAGGTTTTAAGCCCCTGCAGGGCAGGGCCAGCCCAAATTCACCTTTAGAGTCGATTCCCTGGCAGAGCGATTTGCACACCGAAGGCACTGCCCGTCGGCACAGAGTCCCTGCCAGAGGCTGGGAGCCTGAAATTACCCCCAGGTTCGTGTCAGGAGATCTAAGAAATACCTACAAAAGCACCAGAGGGGCTCTGCACACTGAGGCTGAGCTTCTCGAAAGTTGACTTTTTTTCTTGTGGCTATAGGGTCTCACTCTGTCCTCCAGGCTGGAGTACAGTGGTGAGATCACGGTTCACTGCGGCCTCCACCTCCCGGGCTCAAGGGATCCTCCAGCCTCAGCCTCCCAATTTGTTGGGATTACAGGCATGCACCACCACACCAGGGAAAACTGGACTCTTGTTCTGGAGTCACTTGGGGGAACTGCGCCCCTGAGCGATGCATGGCTGCCTCGGGCCTGGGCCGCCTTCTCCAGGCTCCTGACATCTGACATCCCCTTGGTGAACAGCAGAAGGCACATGGGATCTACATTCAGACGCCTGGCTTTGCTGTGGGGTGCAATCCTCCATTATGGAATGGTTCCTGCAGCATTTCCTGGGTCCGTGGGGTTAAGGGAAGCAGGTACCCTTAGGAAGCTGAGCGGGTGGAGCCTACTGTACAGCCCTTGAGTGCCAGCCTGCACCGAGGCCTAGCATTCATGTCTCACCTCCCCGAGTGCCAGCCTGAACGGAGGCCACTAGCATTTATGTCTCACCTCCCAAGAGTGCCAGCCTGCGCCAAGGCCTAGGATTCACGTATCACCTCCCGAGTGCCAGCCTGCGCCGAGGCCAAGCATTCACGTCTCACCTCCCCTGAGTGCCAGCCTGCGCCGAGGCCTAGCATTCACGTCTCACCTCCCC